TGGGTACATGGTGGTCATGAAGGCAGTGGCGGCTGGTGAAAAATATTTTTGGTGGGGCTGTGCTATTTTTTTTAAACAAACTTGTGCTTTCTGAGCTTTCTGCACAACTTCACTATTTCGTGAATTAAGCACAGCTCTTTTATTTCCTGTCTTAAATTATTGGACAAAGGGATTAATCCACGTGTGTCTGACTATTGGCACGCTGCCTTGCGGACCAACGTTGAAAAATACTGCATTAAATTGCACATAAAATAACATGACCATATATGGTCCACATCCACATTACTGTTTGTGAAAATAATATACTGGAGAATTTCATCACAATAATATTAAATAAACAAGTATGTACCTGATCTTTTGCATATTGTTGGTGAAGCTCTGGATGACCCCTGTGATGGAGACAGAGTCAATGTTCCTCTTCTGCAGCTGAACTGCATGTCCACATGTGGCATGATCTTGTGACACAATGCCAGCAGAAAGCCGAAATCTTCTTCCTCCATCATTCTCACAAAGCCTCCTGCCTCTCTCTCAGTGACTGGATCAAAGTCATCCGAGTCTCTGATCATCTGGAAAAATCTGAGGAGGTCGTCCTTGTGCTCATACACTGTGTTGACATCTCTTTCTTGGACAAAATGTGCCGGTTCTGATCCACTTCTTCATTGTCTTTATTCACTGCAAGCCTGCGTCCCTCGTCTCTAGCTGCATGGCAATGTTAGCTCTGCCTAGCATAGCTAGCTTCACCGTGTTGTCCATGTGCGCCCGGGATAACTCATGTTTCTTCACCTTCTCAGAAAAATGTTTCATGTCCGTAACTCCTGACTCAATCTATGCCTCATCTGTCACAGTCGTTTGGAAAGCAAAATAACGCATTAGCGTGATTGCATCCAGCTAGCCAAGCCTTCCCAGAAGCCTCGTGTGTACAGTTTACCTCTCTCCTCCTCCTGCTGGCTTATCTTTACGTCGGGCTGATCTGGTCCAAGCTCTTTGACATTAAGTTTTTCCACCATAGTGCTCCTCTCGAACGGATACTGGAGAAGAGACCGAACTGAATTCAGTGGCTGCTGAGATCCGTTATCCATGCTGCTGCTGGTTGTAGGCGCACTGGCGTCCATGTCTTTTACGTCTGCGTCACGACCGTCACGAGTCACGACCAAAAACGTGCTGGAGTCGAGAATCTCCGAGTTCTACCGAGCACTAACGAAAGCCTTTGGTGGTAGCTCTATCGCCCATCATGCTTCTGAAACAACGTTGACGCTGACTGGATACATTTCCATTCCTACCCTTTGATTTTCTTGTCAGCAATTGGACGACTGGTCTCGTCCTGTTTGGGCGATTCAAAAACAGCCTACAACCTCCACTGCTCGGCAGAGACCGACAGAGACCGGCAGAGACCAATATAGAAATATATATATATGATTTATTTTTGTTACAAAACACACAATTAACTTAGAATATGTGATTATTGTAAATTTTATTTATTTATTTTTTTAAATAAAAATTAAAAACACTGGGGAAACTGGGAGGGCGGCACCCTATCGCCCTCTACTGGCCAGCCGCCACTGCATGAAGGGATGGACATGGTCAGAAACGATGCTCAGGTAGCCCGTGGCATTTAAACCATGCCCAGTTGGCACTAAGGGGCCTAAAGTGGGCCAAGAAAGCATCCCCCACACCATGACAACACCACAACCAGCATACACAGTGGTAACACGGCATGATGGATCCATGTTCTCATTCTGTTTACGCCAAATTCTGACTCTACCATTTGAATGTCTCATCAGACCAGGCTACATTGTCCAGTCTTCAACTGTCCAATGTTGGTGAGCTGGTGCAAATTGTCACCTCTTTTTTCTATTTAAAGTGGAGATGAGTTGTACCCGGTGCGGTCTTCTGCTGATGTAGCCCATCCGCCTCAAGGTTGGGCGTGTTGAGAGTTCACAAATGCTTTGCTGCAATCCTCGGTTGTAACGAGGGTTGGGGTTAGGGTCTTCTATCAGCTTGAATCAGTCGGCCCGTTCTCCTCTGATCTCTAGCGTAAACGAGGCATTTTGGCCCACAGGACTGCCGCATACTGGATGTTTTTCCCTTTTCACACCATTCTTTGTAAACCCTAGAAATGGTTGTGGGTGAAAATCCCGTCTGGCACCAACAACCATACCACGCTCAAAATAACTTAAATTACCTTTCTTTCTTATTCGGACCTTCAGTTTGGAGTTGAGGAGATGGTCTTGATCAGGACTACACCCCTAGATGCACTGAGGCATCTGCCATGTGATTGGTTGGTTAGTTATTGCATTAAGTAGAAGCTGAACAGGTGTTCCTAATAATCCTTTAGGTGAGTATAATTTAGTCTGGTTTCACTCTATGGACGGCTCTCGGTCGTGGGATGGGTTCCACCGCTGTCTTTCAAACAGTCTCCACATGCTACTGGACAACGAACAACGTGACGTAGTCACCGCAACAGATGTCGGTAAACGAGGCATGCTGTTGTTGAAGAAGGTGAAAATAAATCCTTTTTCTGAATAAAGGACTTAAATACATCAATCTGCTACTGATTTTAATGAAGCCCATGTCCAAATAGTCCAAAATTAATGTAAAAGCTGTTTAAAACGAGCTGTCACCATCTTGTTTCACTCCGTCACATCATCCCGCCCACCAGACCAAAAACGGGCCCTGATTGGCCCACAAAGTGAATAGAGGCCACAATAGTGCGCAAATCACAGCGTTCTATCTGTTTGAATCCCCTGTGGAGAGCTGTGATTGGCTAACCAGAATGCGTCTAGGGGCCGCAGAGGTTCCAGTGGAGCGTTCCTAGACCAAACGTTGCAAGGCAAGATTTTGGTCTAGCTTACCAGGCTGTTAGGTTTCTGCTCCGGGATACTAAAGCCTTTTCCCAGGAACACCACTCAGCCTAAACAGCTGGGTACAGCGCTGAGTCAGCCCATCTGAGTGTAGTTTTGTTCCCATGGCAGCTCCATGACAGAACCCTCTTAGGTGTGGGGGGAGGGGTGGGGTGTGTGCGATTTTTACTCATGACAAAATAACATCAGGTGATCAGTAAACAGCGTAAGGTAACCTGTGCGCTCCACAATAACACAACTGAGGTGAAAACGGTGTTGTTGGACATTTAGCTCAGTTTTATGGCTTTTTGTCAGACTCTGAACCAGGAAATGGCTGCAGGCTGTTAAACAGAAAGCAAAAAACTCCGGAGCAACCAGTGACTCCGCCCCCTAGCCAATCAGCAGTCAGAATCACGATGCCGGCCCACTCCGCCTTTCCAGGTACCTCAACGAAGCAGGGACTAAAAATAAGGGGGGGGGGGAGTAGATTGAAAATACCGAACCGTGGCCTTGGGAACGGCGGTCCGTCCGAGCTGCACCGGGCCGAGCTGCACTGAGTAATGCTCCTGCAAAAACAGCTTCATGAATACCTGTAGCTTATTCTGACACCACATAAAGGCACCAGACCTCATTCTTTTTCTATGGCCTTTAACCTTTGTTCAACCAGATGAGTCGAGTGAGAACTCCAGGATATGGCCAAGAGGCAGCAGCAGCAGACACAGTTAGCTTTACACTAAAGAACAACCGGTAGACAAGATAACAGCGATCAAAATCTGATAAATCAGTCAGACATAAAGACAAAAGACTGTTCTCATATATGTACAAGCAATCAGAACAGCTGTAAAACAGTCTCTAGTACTCAGAAGCAGGAACATCGATCAGAATCTGTCGATCACCATGAATTATTATGGTAGATAATGGACTGAAGACAGTGAGCTTCAGTGACTTTTGCAGCTCGTTCCAGTCGTTGGAAGCAGCAAGCTGGAACGAGGAGCGGCCAGAGGAGGTGCGAACTCTCGACGGGGGCGACGGTAACACAGGAGGTGCTTGTCCGGAAGAGTGCAGCTTTGCAGATTGCAGTGTAGCTCATCCCCACCAGGGTGTGAATGCCTGTTTGAATGGGTGAATGACTGAATGTGTTGTAAAGCGCCTTGGGGGGTTCCAGAACTCTAGAAGGTGCTATATCAAATACAGACATTTACCATTTACAATCTCGAGTGCTTTCTCCCTAAAGGGGAAGTGTGTCCTTGTCAGCACGCAGGGGTCCAGTCTTCAGACATCGCTGTCCTCTGGGCCCCAGACGCTGGCCCCCCAGAGTCCGCCTTGGCTTGCCTTGGGCGTCGGATCAGGAGCAGTGTGGGCAGACACTTCAAACCAAACGTGACAGGAACATCCCTGTTAGTAAAACTGTATTTCCGTGGTGCTCTCGCTAAACAGCTAAGGAAATAAAAGGCTTTAAGTTGTCGTGTGTTTTGTCTTTTAGCCATTTCAGTGTCTTTTTGTTAAAATAGATCATTTTAATTCTTTTGAATAATTTCGTAATCTTTGATGAATATTTAACATTTATGAGTTAAATACGAGGCTGCGCAGTGGCGCAGTGGTTAGAGCTGTTGCCCTGCAGCAATTTGGTCCAGGGTTCGTTTCCCAGCCTGGGATCTTTCTGCATGGAGTTTGCATGTTCTCCCTGTGCATGCATGGGTTCTCTCCGGGTACTCCGGCTTCCTCCCACAGTCCAAAAACATGACTGTTAGGTTGATTGATTGGTCTGCCTAAATTGTCCTTAGGTGTGAGTGTGTGTGTGTGTGTGTGTGTGTGTGTGTGTGTGTGTGTGTGTGTGTGTGTGTGTGTGTGTGTGTGTGTGTGTGTGTGTGTGTGTGTGTGTGTGCATGGTTGTTTGTCCTGTGTGTCTCTGTGCTGCCCTGCGAAGGACTGGCTCTCTGTCCAGGGTGTACCCCGCCTACTTGCTCGTTGACTGCTGGAGATAGGCACCAGCCCCCCCCCCCCCCCCCCCCCCTGCGACCCTGCGTGGACAAAGCGGGTTCAGAAGATGGATGGATGGATGGATGGAGTTAAATACAAGAGTTCTTATCTTTATTTGGCTTTAGTTACAGGAAGCAGAGACATTATTTACCAAATGGAAAGCGCTGTTGCTACATAGAATGGATTCGAAACACCTTAGACTAACAAATTTACTTTGACAGTTTAAATTGTGGACTTCTTTCCTCAGGAATTTCTTATGGTCTGCATGCTTTGGAAATATTTGACTAGTGGTGAGTGACACACACACCGAGGAGCTAAAGGTATATAAATGCTGTGTTTTCATCCCCGGAGCATTCAGTCACCAGCTACTGCTAACCTCTTCAGCTGATCATCACAACAAGGTAAAGCTGGTAATAGCGGCACTCTTCATTTAGATGGTTGTTATAAAGCATTAATGAGTACTTTCAGCCTTTATTATTTAGGATGTTGAGCTTTTGCATCGGGTTTCATCGTCTCTAATGACTTTTCCACAGATGGCTTCAGGTCTGTCCTTGGCTCTGCTCCTCTGTCTGAGCTCTGGGCTCTGGACTGGAACGGATGTAAGTTTAAATGTTCAGACACGATTCTGATGAGAGACGCTTTCTGTTGTGAGACAAACGAACATTTTATTTTTTCATCTACAGGCAGGATGTCGAATCAGAGGTTGGTGATTCTGACTTTACAGGTTTTACAGACACTGGGACACATTTCTCTGTGCTTAGGCCACTTTTGCACAACAGAAGTCTATGTGGGCCAAACTGAGGACCAGTCATCGTTGTTTTGACTACATCTCTCAAGTTTAATGAATTATTTTCTCACTCAGACAAAACAACTGCCATGAATCTTTGCAGCAACACATTTTACACATGCTTACGTACTGTTTTCAGGTGTGAGTGTGAGTGTGTGTGTGTGTGTGTGTGTGTGTGTGTGTGTGTGTGTGTGTGTGTGAGCATAATTAACTTTTCTATAGAATCCCACTTAAACAGAACCAAAGTGTTGACACTGATCCTGATGTGCATGACCTTCTCCAGCTGCTGATGCTGGCGACTGCCCTCCTGGTTGGAGTTGGTTTGAAGATCGCTGCTTTGTGTTTGTGAAGGATGCCTTGGACTGGGCTGCAGCTGAGGTGCTTTACTCACTTATCAACTTAAACTTTTTCCTCATGAATCCTTTTTTGGGCATAAAATCACAGTTTCGTGACTTTTTAGTCATTTCTGTTTGATGTGGTTTCTATATTTTTATGTTACTGAGTCATTTGAGTTAAATACCGATCATTTGCGTGACATGAAATCAGTGTTTGTGTTTAAAATGAACTTGTCACGATGCGGTGGTGGTGGACCCATGTGTGGTGGAGCTTGACCAGGAGGCAGAAATGCAGCTCAGGTAAAATAAAACAGATTTAATGAATCATGGCAGGTAGGATGAAACAGCAGGAGCAACGTAACAGGGTGAAAACACAACAATGACCCGACAAGGGATAAGTGCAGAACGGGGGTATAAATACACAAGGATAATCAGGAACACAAGGGCAGGATAACAAGGGGCAGATGAGTCCAATAAGCAACTAATGAGGGGTAGACGGGACCAAGAGTCAGAGGGGTCGGAGCAGATCCTGACAGAACTAGTCCAAACTACAGTTCTTACATTTTAAAATGAGTTAGTTCAGCTCCTAGTTCATAAGGACGCAACAGCAGAAGACCCTTGGAGCTGGACCCCGACTCACAATCCTCTGATCACGAGGCAACTCGCTGTACCTCCTGAGCTACTGCTGAGTAGCCCAACCCTAACCCACAAATCAAACAGGAACAGAAATGGCTTGTATAGCCCCTCTGATCTGGACAATGGTCCAACAGTAGATGGGCGTGGCTTAGGCTCTCCATGGCGGCTGCGTTTGTGGGTCTACCCTCCATAACTCCCGTGGTTAACCGGACTACACGGACATGGCTCCGTGGAATCTGGAGTTGTTGGAACTGACAGAAAACGCCAGAATGAACGCGTTCACCTGATAATATGAACAAGTTCATTGAACTTGTTCAGGCACAACTCTACGTGTAATCATGTGTTTATAGAGCTTTTAATTCCTCATTAGTATTCATCCTTTTCTTTTGCTTTTCATGCTCTCGTGTTTTCACCTCCTTCTCAGAGATATTGCCTCTCAGTTGGTGGAAATCTGGCCTCCTTCCACAGCACAGCTGAGTACAACTTCATCAGGGATCTGATCTTGAAGAAAACTGGAGCTCACACAACCTGTTGGGTTGGAGGCAACGATGCAGCGAAGGTGAGCACAGCGTCTCCGTGGTTTCTGCTTGGACTGGATACAGATGCCTCACATCTGCTGCTGCTGTAGGACGGTGTGTGGATGTGGTCCGACGGCTCAAAGTTCGACTTCACCGCCTGGCACGCTGGCGAACCAAACAACTACGGTGGAAGTGAGAGCTGTATGGACATCAACCTGAGAGGTAATGATCTTGTAAAAGAAAACTGCTGAAAGTTTCAGAAACGATTTGATCAACTTTATGACTTTCTCGTTTTTATGTCTTTCAACAGGAGAAGATTATGTCAACGATGAACGATGTGCTCTAAGCCTTCCTTTCGTCTGTGGAAAACACGTCTAGCTGGCCTTCGTTGTCCCTAAAAGCTCAACGGTGTGACCTTCTCACTCACGTCACCTGCAGGACATCAAGCCTCGATGATGTCACACCTGCTAATAAATCATTTAAATAAAGATATTTATGTCTCGTTAATCTGGCTCAACTGTCTCATTTATCTTTGTTATTAGACCTGAATGGATCCTTAAGAACGCTTTAAAGAAAGAAACGAAACAAACGTTCTTAACATTTTAGTATCAGACACACCGTTCTACGTCCACACTCGTTTATTTTTATTATAGTCTCTGTAAAAATGGCACGTGTAAACAATGGTGTAGGCTCCAAACACGACTGTAGAAACAGAAAGGGGTTGATCCTCATCTTCTTCCTCCTCCTCCGTTCTGCCGTGTGTGCAGACGTTGGCTCCAGACCGTCGCCGCCGCAGCAGAGGGGACCTGAAGATAATGCTGATCCTGAGACCAGTGGACTCTTCTTTATGAAGCAGCTGAAACCTCACCTGTTCAGGCTTCTGTGGGACCTCCTCTTCATTCATTCTCCACGTTTTCTGCCTCCCTATTATTTAAATTGTAATTTTTTCATTTGAAATTTTATCATTTCGTTTTTCTTCTTAGTTTTTCGTAATGTTGAACTATTTTTGTGCTTGTGAAGCTCCTTATGACTTTTCATAAAAGGCACTACATGAAGTTTCTTTGTAATAATGAATATAGTCTGTGTGTATTTGCCCTGATGTTCTGACTAGTCGTATCTAAACACTACCAGTAAGTAAACAACCCATAGGAAAGAGGGAAATCAGTGGATCCTGAGGAAGGTGGAATAGGTAGGGAGAGCAGATGACCTTTTTTGTGGGTAAGTTGTCACAGCCTTGGAGTGTCACAAATAGGCATAAACATATTTTTTGCTCACTTTGTAGTTTTTGTGTGATGTCATATTTTCTAAAATACTCACGTTAAAGTCATTTGAGCACAAAAAAATGCACTTACAAAGATAGCCAGTTGAACACTTTATTAAAGCACACGAACAAAGAAAAAGTGTGTGTGTGTGTGTGTGTGTGTGTGTGTGTGTGTGTGTGTGTGTGTGTGTGTGTGTGTGTTTGAGAGAGAAAGAGAGAGAGAGAAACACAGAGGGGGTGAGCTAACAACTGCAGGTTGAGCACACAACTGTTGAGTGCTCCTTGCACACATCCTGTCCACATGTTTTGCAAAAGCGCGCATGCACGCTCCTCTTCCCTCTGCAAAGGTGGCATTTTTTCTTTATTGTCTGCTCCTGGGCTGGAGCTGGCTCCGCTTGCTGCTGCACCTGCAACAAAGCTGCAGACCTGCTGGACCACTGCAAGCGAGTGCGCCTCGCCTGGGCTGGTCTCACCATGGAGCTCCCAAGCTCCTGCAAGAACAGCCTTCGGCAGATGCTCCTCTTCTGCTGGTTCCAGGCCGGTTCCAGACAGCCACAAGACCAGGGCATTGTAGGCGCTCACATCTAACATGTTGCAGAAGAGCGACATGTGCCAACGTCTGGTCTTGCGGCGGCAGCTGTATGTTGCAACGAGCAGGAATAAAAATAAACGAATAAATAAATTACATATGCAATTAGGTTGGCGAATTATAATTAAATAAAATAAATAAATTACCTTGTCCAAGTTGTCAACTGCCCCTTTGCAGCAGTTGTCATCGATGATTACGGTCGGCTTCTGCTGCGGTCCCTCCTGACTGACTCCCCCTAATTTTGCTAATTTTGCTAATTTTGTACATTCAGTGAGGCTTCTTTTTTGAAAGAACACTGAAAAAGCACAATTACCCCTCCAGGGTTTCATTCACGTTGAAACTTCTTCTCATGGTTGCGGTTTAAAAAAATGAATCCTGATCTGAGTCTCATATATATACTTTTAGTCAACTGGTGCACCTGTGTAAACTGCCCCTAATAACTGAATGTAAACAAAATTCGGCTCTGCAGGAATTTGTTTTGCAAAACAAATGTACGCCTTTGAAGTTTATCAGCCTTCATCTTAGCTTTCATCCATGCAAATGCTTTGTACTTATTGAAATAACATTTTGCAAAGGTAAAATTGTGAGTGAGTATCTGAAATTTAGCAGAAAATCATTTGATTTTTGATATATGGCATGCCTTTGATGAATATTCATGATGTCAACAGAGTGTGAGAACCTGTGCCCCCCCCCCCCCCCCCACACACACACACACACACTCTCATGGCCCACACCTGCTCAACCACTCCAGATAATGATCACAGATCTGTCTTTTGAAGATCTGTAAAGTGCTTTGATACCTACATACACACATGCCTGCACGAGCACACACAAAGGGACACATGTCAAAATGCTATTTTGCAGAATAAGTTAATTTTGTACATTCAGTAAGGCTTATTTTTTGGACGAACACTGAAAAAGCACAATTACCAAAAATTTAGAACACACACATGCAAACTATTTTATGGCATCTCTAAATAACACAAAAACCATTTTCTTGCAAAATATGTATTATAATGGGCAGTCAGACTCAGAGGTAAAGAAATACAGCTAAATTATTCAGTTTAAATGCTGGGTCAGCCATTGCCCTGCTATATATGGAGAAAGTACGCTATGTAGTGAAAAATGGTAAACACTGCTTCTTACATTTGTGATGAGACTGTAAACATGGTCACAATCATATTTTTTTTTAATTATGCCAGTATTTATGCTAATTAAAAAAATATGATTTACATGAAAGTAAATGGCACAAAAAATGCTTCAATGTGCTTAACTGTACAAAATGATTTCCACGTTTTAATAAAGTAGGTTGAATATTTTTTCAAACTTTTTTTTGTAATTCTTTCCAAAATACACATCCTCCATAAAAATGAGATAAATTGCATTAACATAGCCAAAGTTATTCACAAAAATACACGTGTCAGCACAAAAAAATGCTCTAATGTGAGGTAAGGGTTAAAGGAGACCACTGAGTCCACTGATCTCAGGCTCAGGGGGAGAGAGTTCCAGAGTCTGGGGGCCACAGCAGCAAATGATCTGTCACCTTTGGTCTTTAGCCTGGTGCTGCACAACCAGTAGGCTTTGGTCAATGGACCTCAGGGACCTGCTGGGGGTGTAGGGACTGAGAGTCCAATTAGTGTCATCAAACACAGCTGGACTCTGATGAAGGTGTAGGAACATCTCAAGGATGATCAGAAGAAATGGAAAGCACCTGTGTTAAATATAGGAGTGTCACAGCAAAAGGTAGGAATACTTAGGACCATGTGATATTTCAGTATTTCTTTTTAAATAAATCAACAGAAATTTCTAAAATTCTGTGTTTTTCTTGTTAACTCGCTGTAAATATATATATTCAGGGAGTTTCTCGTTTTTTGTTCTATCGCGAGGCCCTGGGAGAAGCGGGAAGGCGGAAGGAGCGAGAGTTCTGAATGGCAATAAACGGCGGCACTGAAAAATAAACGTGTGGTTTATTAAACTTTACATGGTAGCAGAGGATGGTTTCCAACTATAGAACGCCGCCTAAACTCGACGAAGCCAGGTCATACGAATGCTGGAAAAATGAAGTTAGTATGTGGAGACTTGTTACTAATCTGGAAAAGAAGAAACAAGCACTCGTGGTGGCGCTGGGGCTTGAAGGACAAGCCTGACAGACTGCTTTAGAGATATCCGCAGAGGATCTTAACAAAGATGACGGTAAGGAAACCTTGCTTACAAAATTGGACACCGTTTCCTGAGAGAAGAAAAAGATCGAGCTTATGAAGCATATTCTCACTTTGACGCGATATCTAAAGACAGTGCAATTTCAATGGCGGACTACATTATAGAGTTTGAACTAAGGTACAACCGTATAAAAAGTATGATATGACTCTACCTGATGCTGTACTAGCATTCAAGCTCCTGGACACAGCCTGTCTCAATGAGAAGAACAGACAGCTAGCACTAGAAGGCAGGAACATGCAGCAGTGCCTGGCTTGGGTTCAGGGGCCTCAGGTAGACCTTGGTTTCTCTGCTGTCCCATCACAGGGGAGGGGGAAGTCCAGGAGGGGGAGGACCCAACCTTTCCTGGATGTCCTATGTCTTATATAATCTGGAAGTTGTGCAAATGCAGGGATGGGCGTAGATATTCTTTTTTTTTTTTTTTTTTTTTTTTTTTTTTTTTTACCTTGTCCTGTCTGGCTGTGAAGCAAGCAGACTTGATATCTGAATGCTGGTAACAAGCCTTACAGATTTACTCTCAGGTGGAGCATCAAAGCGTTTGCTTTTAATGTCACGCCTGAAACTTAAAACTTTATTGTTATTGTTGTTGAATGCTTTGTAATTCCGACCAGACACGGAGACAGAGGTGAAAGAGAAAGGAAAAGAAAAGGTGGGGAGAGAGAAGGAGGAGGAGGGGGGGGGGGGGGGTCCACAAAAATAAACAATGAAAAAGAGTCTGCTTCTAGACCTGCAGAAAAAGACAAAAAGAAAGCAAAAGGACAAAAAAAAAGGGACACAACAACAATACAACAAGATCTAGCTATCACTGCGTCAACTTGATGAAAATATATAATCAACATTGCTTAACTGAAGAATCACGATAATAAATCACAGTGCATTAAGTGCCCACCATAGTCTTAAGACCTGTGTTTAACGTGCTCAAGCCCATACTTTTGAGAGCACCATGTGAGCACCTGTGTGTGTACACACGCTTGTTTATTTAAGGTTTCTCTATAGGAGCGTCCAACAGAAAGTGTGAGGGACCACAGATCCGCCCCCCAAAGATGCGCAGGAGACGGGGGGAGCTCCAAGTCCCAGAGATCCAGGCGCTGCCCCAGAACACAGGAACCCCGAGGAGATTGCAACCAGAAAGGCCCCCGCCCCCCTCGAGAGGCACAGAGGATCGCCCCGGGGGGCCACAACCAGCAGCCGGCAGAGTCCCGGGAGACATCAGCGGCAAGCCCACAGGCCCGCCCGCAGCCTCCCACCCCCTAGCCGGCCGAGCCCGGGACCCAGCGACCCGGGACCCAGGGGCGACCAGCCCCGCCGGGGACCCAGCAGAGCCCAGGGACCCAGACCCCACCATGCAGCCACCGGGATCTATCAGGCAAATGCCAAAATCTTAAACCCCCAGACCCGGTTGCCACGAACACTCAGGCAGACCAAGGCACAACCACTCAC